CCTTGCCGGCGGCGGTCAGCGCCGCCGTCCTCTTCCTCTCGCGCTGCGGCCGCTGCCTCGGCGGCGGAGGCCCCCGCGGCCGCCGCGTCGGCGACCTCGGCGGGCTCGAGCGGCGCTCTCTCCGGCGGGTGTGCACACGCGCAGGGAGCGGCGGGCGGTGAGGGGCGGGCGGGGGAAGCCGGCCACCAGGCGCCGTCCCCGGCGGCTCGCCCGCGTCTTGAGCGAGACGGTGGGCGGCATGGGCGAGGCGAGGAGCGAGGCGCCGATGGTGCCGGGCCGCGGCGGCGCCGTGAAGAGCAGCAGCGCGTTCGGCGCGGCGCAGACGGCGGGCAGCAGCCGCGCCGCGAAGCCGTGAGACGCGTCGGCGGCCGAGGCAAGCACAACCTTTGGGGGCGGGGTCAGGGCTAGGGTGAGGGCTAGGGTGAGGGCTAGGGTGAGGGTGAGGGTGAGGGCTAGGGTGAGGGCTAGGGTGAGGGTGAGGGTGAGGGCTAGGGTGAGGGCTAGGGTGAGGGTGAGGGTGAGGGCTAGGGTGAGGGCTAGGGTGAGGGTGAGGGTGAGGGCTAGGGTGAGGGCTAGGGTGAGGGTGAGGGTGAGGGCTAGGGTGAGGGCTAGGGTGAGGGTGAGGGTGAGGGCTAGGGTGAGGGCTAGGGTGAGGGTGAGGGTTAGGGTGAGGGTTAGGTTGAGGGTTAGGGTTAGGGTCAGGGTGAGGGTTAGGGTGAGGGTTAGGGTGAGGGTGAGGGTTAGGGTTAGGGTTAGGGTTAGGGTGAGGGCTAGGGTGGGGGCTAGGGTGAGGGCTAGGGTGAGGGCTAGGGTGGGGCTAGGGTCAGGGCTAGGGTGAGGGCTAGGGTGAGGGTGAGGGCGAGGGTGAGGGCGAGGGTGAGGGCGAGGGTGAGGGTCGGGGTCAGGGATAGCGGCCACCTTCGGCGAGGGCCGGTCGAGGGCCTGCTCGAGCGACGTCGCGACCTGGACAGCAGCAGCAGCGTCGCCTCGGGTCCTCTCGGGTCCTCTCGGGTCCTCTCGGGTCCTCTCGGGTCCTCTCGGGCCCTCTCGGGTTCTCGTCGAGTCGGCTCGACCTGGACGTGCCGGAAGGCAAACGGGTTTGTCCGCTTTGCGTCGAATGCGGCGGTGACCTGTGCGCCCATCCACTCGAGCTGGGAGATATGGGGAGATGTGGGGAGATGTGGGGAGATGTGCGGGAGAGATGACCTGTGCGCCCATCCACTCGAGCTGGGAGGCGGCGAGGTGGACCTATGGGAGATATAGGGGAGATATAGGGGAGATGTATGGGAGATATGGGAGACATGGGAGGCAGCAAGGGTGGACCGTCGCGCTCGCCACGTGGGAGAGGAGGACGAGGCCGTACCTATGGGAGATATGGGAGATATGGGAGATATATGGGAGACAGAGGAGGACGAGGCCGTACCTAGTGGCGCGGCTGACCTCGGGTGACCTCGGGTGATCTCGGGTGATCTCGGGTGATCTCGCCGCATGGGGGGAGGTCTAGGGGAGGAGGAAGAGGAGGAGGCCCCGCACCGCTGCATCTTTCGGTCGGCGGCCCACATTGCCTCGAGGACAAGGCAGAGCTCGAGGACGCGGAAGCAGGTGTCGACCTGGCGGGGGAGATATGGGGAGGTATGGGGAGGTATGGGGAGGTATG